CTACAGGATTTTAAAAAAGCAGCCCCGGCGCCACGTTTCACCGATATGTATGAAACTCGGTAGGCACGTGTAACGTGCCGAGACGTACAAAAAAGCCTCTTGGACCCATACCCCAAACCCCACGGGAAGTCGGCCATTTTGATTTTGATTTTCACTTTCGGCGAACTTTTCGCCTTGTATTTGAACTCCTCCTCCTAGGGAAATTCATCGATCTGTTCAAAAATTGGCAGTAGACAGCAAAAATGGGCTGCATAAAAGTTGTGGTATTTGTGCATGTACGTTGAAGGGCGTGTCCGATGGCGTGCCGTTCAAAGTTGGCCATTTTGACTTCCGTGGTCATTTTCTGTGATTTTTGCCTTGTATTTGAATGAACTCCTCCTAGGGAATTTATCAGATCTACTTCAAAATTGGTCAGTAGAGATAGAAAATGTTGCTGATTAAAAGTTGTGCTATTTGTGCATGTACATTAAAGGGCGTGTCCGTGGCCCCGACGTAGGTTGATGGTGAGGACCCACCCAACGCTGCTTGCAGCTTTAATTAGTTTTTGTTTTCTATTTGAATCTACTGGTATAAAATGGTTAGCCACAATAGATTTCATTTAATTTATATTAACTCAATACCAAACAACCTTTTAATGCATTGAGTAACGTGCAAAAAACATTCCACCTTAAAGGTCCAGTGTGTAACATTTAGGAGGATCTATTGGCAATAATACTATATATTCTATTTTTCGACTGCACTTTACAGTGACCAGTTTTCATTGTACATTATTGCCTAATGTTTTAGTTTTAGCTGCTATTATTTTGTTAGATCTGTACCTCATGTTTTCAACAAAATTGTACTTATGCCAAAAAGATATTCTCCAGTTTGAACTGTACATGCTGCTGTTGCTCTATTCAGCCACCAGATGGTGCTAATGTACAGCAATCTAAGCAGCCAGCCTTTGAAAGACACAAGAGCAGTGATTGTACAAATCGCTGCACAAGGAGAATTAAACAAAAAGATATTTTACAAATTCGCAGTGTGAAACTTTTTGAAAATATTAACAATATTAAAGGCATTTAAAATTCTCGGCTAAAAGGAACATTGCAAATCAACTGATTCTAATTTTTCTGTTAAAAACTTTCGAAACCCTCTATAAGCAGTATAACTACAGGTGTATTCATTTTTTAAAATAAAGTTTTTAGAGTCATATCTTACCTATTTGGCACTTAACAAAACCCCACTGTTACAACTTTCAGCCTTCTTTTATGTACAACATTTCAGTTGTGGCACTTAAATTATCTTACTGAGAGCTTTCATTTGATATATAACACTCATGGCGATATCAACTCCCTCCAGGATTCCCTGAAGCCTGAAAGCCTGATTTTAAGTTAGCTTTTCTTAAAGAGTTACAATCTATGATGCGCTGTTTCATATACACTCCAAATCCTTCCTAGTAACTAGTAAATCCATATGTAAAATTGCGGGATTGGAGGGTGTGCAACAACTGTATTTGTATCCTTTCCAAGTAGGCATGCTCCTAACAGACCTGTGCATGTGATGAAAACATCAAATGTTAAAACAGAATCCTGTCTGCTGTGTTTTGGTTACATTTGAAATGGTAATTATTTGTGGTTGCAGCCAGGACAGGAACCCAAGTTTCTTTTTAAACTTAGATTTTTTTTTCCTTTTGCTGCGGACCCATTACAACCCACTCAAGCTCCACTCTGTGGACTTCATATTCAACTTTTCAAACTGGATTCAAACTAACATGTTTCCACAATAAAGCCAGTGTTGGTTGTATCAGCACCACACACGAGCTAAAACTGCTCACTGCAGATGCATATAGCCAAAGCTTGTTTTTCTGCACACAGACAAAGAAAAGCTATACTAGAGCCGATAATGTCTTAAAACCATTTTGCATATTTAAGCCCATGCTTTGCATCACTAACTGTTTTCAAAGCAGTGTTTCAGATTTTTGAATGTGCTTTTCCATCCATGCACCCACTGCTTTCACTGAATGTAAATCAACCTGCACAGACTTGCTTTGACTTGTGTAATCTATCAGTGAACATTATGTCTGCTGTAACTGATGGTGTTGTTGGGTGTTGATTTAAAGAAAAAGCCTGAATAAATGAATGCAGATGCTTCAAAGCTGCGGACCGTAAAT